GAGACTGACCATGCTAAAACTTCACGAGTCTGAAACTCGGCCTTTAGTGACTGATTTCAGTCCGAGACTAGTTCAGTTGTATGTAAAAATTTCAAAGAGATATTTTCCTGTTGTTTTCTTGTGACATCATAACAAACAAACGCCTTAAAAGACCTTTAACCTTACCTTTGTATCCCCTCCGCCAACTCGCCCTTTGTTGGTTGTCAAGGAAAGACTAAATGGCTTGCCCTCCAGTATGGCGTTGCCAAGGGAAAAAAAATCGGTCACGTGACAGTTTGTTGCAAAAGGCCTATTAGTTTTGGTAAATTTTTCAGAATTCGAAAAAAGCCCGTAGGACTTTGAATTGATTTTAAGTCAACTCTTTTAACTTATTGTTAAAATCCGTAAAATATCAAGGAAGCCATATTATTTGAGTATTTTATAATGTTGAACTACCATCAAAGAGACCCAAATGGAACAGTTTCGGGCACCATCCTGTTCATCATAAAACCAGAAGTTTCCCATTAACTGAACAGTATCCGCTTTCGTGACTTACGCGTCAAGCTTGCATGGGATCATGGGCTTAGGGGATTCCCCGTGGAAATCGCGCTTTGTCGCGTGGCGGATTGATCGAGCACAAGATTGCCTCGAAATTGCGCGTTTATGGACTTTCTTTTGGTACATTTCCCCGCACTTTTGTCGCACATCGTGGTGGCACTGTCGTTATAAAGTCGATCACGTGCAAACGTCATTTCCGTTTCCGTGTCAGAGGTGAGCATCCAAAATATTGTTTACTTTTATTAGTTTTCCATTACGTATGAATTATAGTTTTAAGCTACAGCTATCTATTGATCTTTTCTCCATTTACATCTGTCATAAAATTTCTTTTTTGTGAGCTCCAGCTAGTGGCAAACAGATATTTGTCTGTTACAATCTCTGATATATTTCTGCTAATTTCTCATTAATGACTTATGAAGTGTTGTATAAAATTAAAATGTTTGTCGAATGAGTCTGAAAGGGATGTTTTTGTTTTTGTAGAATTGTTTTGAAATAAGCAACCATGCACTTCCTCAGCAATCCAAAAATGGTTAGAAAGAGCTGAATTATTGAAAATATTTAAGGGTTTTAACTTTACATTTGACGCTCATGAAGCGCTTTCAGTTTCGATGCAGCCAATATCTAATTACAATCAAAGGCAAAAGAACAAATGTCTGTGTTTGAACATTCATATAGCCAAATCAATCCATAAGGAAGGGTTGATTTTAAAGGATCTTTGATGAGATATGAGTGCCATATTAAGTATGGACATGTTTGTCTCTCTCAAATTAGTGATGGAACGAATTTCACAACAGACTGAGAAAGTTTGGGCTCTTCTCATGAATATTCCATTGCAAGTAGACCTTATGATCAAACTTGATATCTGTGTAAAGCTAATTTTTTAACGTAATGGTAATTAAATTATATGTCCTATGTCTAAAAGACAAACTTCTTTTACTATTCACATAACTGTTGAAACTCAAGGAATATCTGAAGAATTAGAAAACATTTATCAAGCGGGGTGATTATTTTATCACATGACTGGCTTCATTATTTGTTAACTCAACTGTTTTGGTTTTGTTCTTCCGACCACAAAACGGCGTCATGTTGACCAATTTACTCTTCTAAACGTGTCTTGCGTTTTTCCGTTGAAGAAGATGTTGATTTAATTTTTTATTCAAATACAAGAATGCCTTGCTGTTCAAATAGCACCTCAGTTTAGTTTTCTAAAATAAATCCAGGACATATTTTCTGCCCCCATTTCAATTTTTAAGAGCCCATGACTGTAAATATCGAGAATCGCTGGCCAAGCTGAAAAATCGAAAACTCTGATAATTTTCCTGGAAAACCCTTTTAGGGAGATATATTACAAAAAAAATATTTCAAAGTCTGAAAAATCAAATGTTTCCGAGAAAATGGGGAAAAACGAAAACTCGGGTTTTTACCAATTAATTATGCAAAAAATAGAGTAAAATTGAGCAACTTTAGTGTGCTAGTACTGAAGGAGGATGTTTCGTAAGAAATCCGGGATGTTTTTACTTGAAAGAATAATTCATTTGATTTTTATTTATGGCCCTTTTAGGAGCTTTGGTTTAATTTTAAAAATTACAAGATTTTTTAACAAAGTACTCTCAAACACTTGTTGCAAAAAGCGAAAATTCGAGCAACTTCAAGCCTTCTAAACGCGTCTTGGTATGTGAGAAATCATGTCAAAATGCATGCTGGCACAAAGTTTGGTCCTTATACTAAAATAATATGAAATAAAAATTTGGGGTAATTCGGAAAAGTGCCGGCAAAATACAAGAGCTTACAACGCAATGTGGCCAAGGTCATGAATTTGCATGATACAAATCAGTTCTAGAAATCGTACTTGAGAGCTACGAAGTAAACAAGATAGTCAAAGATGGTTAAAACAATTATTTGATATGGAAATGATATCTA